GCTTCCCTCATTGTATACAGCGCCATAAACACTGTGGTGGAGGAAGCATTAGTGGGTTTTTCCAGGGATTTGCATTTATTCAGTCTGACGAACCAGTGATGGGGAAGAACGAGGATGTGTGGGGGAAGGGAAGAGGGAATTGCCTAACCTCAGAGCTCCATCTTAGCATGAAGAGGCCATATATGAAAAGGAAAAGACAGAGAGAACGCGAGGAGAGGGAGTATGGCAAGCCATTTTAGCAGTTAAAGTCTGTATGAAACAGTGTTGCCAGGTTGGAAATGTCAAAGTATCGTACCAGAAACTCAAAATTATCATACTTGGAGGAAAGTTTGGAGTAAAAATTGAGAGATTACTACAATACATTTTTAAAAATAGGCGTACCTGTATCAGTGTCTAATAAATATGTATATGAAAGAGTCTGAAATATAAGTAGTAGTAGAATGAAAAGGATGTTGGTAGATTTTAAGGCTTAAATGTTAAAACAGCCTGCCATACTGGGAGAAATAATGGGAATAGAGAGAGCACATGAGAAAGAAAGAGAGTCTTCCTTTGCCCTTCCAGTGAAAGGTGGAAAAATAAAATTAGGCTGCAGTCAGAGGTGTGAAAACAAGAAGACTTAGGAAAACAGTGTAAACCAGACTAGTTATTCTTAAAGCATAAATATTTGGTTCGTTTATTTAAGCAAAAATGTATTTGTAAAAAGTAAGTAAATACATAAAAATAAACAAAAATGTAAGTAAATGCATACAAACTGAACTGAGTGTACTGGCTTTTAAAGAAATAGCCAGCTGGCTAATACTGGCATTTCTTTAAAACAAAAAAAAAAAACTATTAATTAAGCTCTTTCCACTCAAACAAACAAACAATAACACTTTTAATATAAAGTAGCAAAAGTAATTCAGCAAGATTTCACATTACAGAGTGTGTTAACACAATGCATTAAATAATATGTAGCCTAATCCATGTTTGTTTGTATTTAAAATTTAGTTGCTGTACTCCTATATGAGTAAATATATATATATATATATATATATTTTTTTTAATTAACAGTCTGTAGTAAATATTTATATATATATATATATATATATATATATATATATATATATATATATATATATATATATATATATATATATATATATATATATACCGAGGTACACTGTATATCAGGGTGTGAATTACTGGGGGGTTTGGGGTGGATTGTTAATTAAAGTTTGATCCCGAAGGAGGTCAAAACAATATATTTTTACTCTGATCCGTATAAAATTGAAATAATAAATATTAAATACACATTTGACCTCGGTTCAAACCATTGTTAATGCATTATTGCACCAATCAGTTTATTCGAGAGTAAAGTGGCAGATCTAGAGCACCAATAGACATCGTGTTCAAAAGACGTTGTTTTCTATGAGGCGCTGTGTAGGATTTAAATCAAACTTCGCTTATCAACACACTCATAAAACACGTGCATATACACCTACACTATTGGAATGTTCAAAACAACATATATGAAACTTGCGCAGATACATATAAACTTCACGCGTGCATACACCCACATACACACGCACATACATATAAACTCAATCCTTGCATAAACACCCACATTAACACACGCACATACATATTAACTTCAGCATGCAAACACACCTGTACACACTCGCATATACATATAAACTTGATCAGTGCATATGCACGCACCATAAACTCTCACATATTAATGTAAACTCGATGTGTGCATAAACACCCAAGAAACACTCACGCAACCATACAAAATAAAATTCACAATCATATATACAGCTAGTTGTGTATATACATATATGCAAGTGATTTCATATGAGTATATGCATGAATTCTCAGTGCAAACGGAAGTTATTTCACATTAAAAGGAAGTAGGTCAATTTCAACTTAAAAGTCCTTTGAGCATAAATGAACAAGATCATTATTTGTCATCAATCTATGTTATTGCAAAGCTTAGGAAACAGAAATAATGCAAGTAATCGAGGAATTACATCTGTTTAATAATGAAAATAGATTATGGTAATCATAAAAAATATTAAAAGATAATGCTAAGGAATGCTCCAGCAAAATGAAAGGTTTATTATGCAATTAAATTATTAGAAAGCTATGGGTTTAATAAATATAAGGTTGCATAAGTAATTATTTGGAATAAATACTGTTTGTTTAATATTAGTTTTTTATGTTTGTTTTATTATTGGTGTCATCATTCGTCATGGGTTACGATACACACTTATGTCCAGTAGGGAGCAGGAATCTTGTAATAACCTGATTCGTGAATTTTATTTTGTATGTTTGCGCGAGTGTTATTTGAGTGTTATTTGGGTGTTTATATTATATATATATATATATATATATATATATATATATATATATATATATATATATATATATATATATATATATATGCTTTACATTATAAATCAGCTCCTCCTAGCATTCGTCATGTGGTATATCGCACACAATAGCCTTATCTTTGACAAATTAAATCACAGCATGTTCATTTAAAAGTGATCATAACTGTATTTTTCATCTTCATCATCACCTTTGAGAGGGAAGATCACTGTTGGCAGTGTTTTGAACACTTAAGGGCACTCAAAAGAACATGTATGGCTGATTTCTGCCAGTGACATCCCACGTGCACTTCTGGCATTTTGCTGTCTGTAGAACACTTAAGACTAACATATATTTAGGGAAAGCTTGTTTCTGAGCCTATTCTTGTATATTTTGGAACATTCAATTTGGGTATTTGTTCCAAATCTTAAGTTAAAATAATAGAAAATAGTGAACATAAAATTGTTCACTCAAACTATTAATTAGCTCTTAAATCTATTGCATTTCTAACATCTATGGGTCATAATTTTTGCTGCTTGAAAGTTTTTCAGTTGAATCAATTGAACTTTTCTAGTCATCTCAACTCAAACTGACTAAAATTGTTACAAAGTTAAACTTTGTTGAACTCAAAATATTTAGTTGAAACCTGACTAACTTTATAAAATGAGTTTAAAAATGTATTTGTAACATGATTAACTAAATAAAAAAAATTATTCTTTTTTTTGTCAAGTTTTTAAAGTGTATTATTTTAGCAAACATCATTTGGTTGTCTGAAGTGATGACAGTCAAATATTAAGTCTATAAGTGTTTGTGTGTCCTACATACACTCACCGGCCACTTTATTAGGTACACCTGTCCAACTGCTCGTTAACACGAATTTCTGATCACCCAATCATGGCAGCAACTCAATGCATTTAGGCATGCAGACATGGCCCAGACGGACTGCTGCCGTTCAAACCGAGCATCAGAAAGGGGAAGAAAGTTGATAGTCAAAATATACAGCTATAGACATAAGGAAGTTTAGAAGTTTTATAGAAGTTTATGTTGGGGAAAAAACTGTATGGATACAAGTAGAGCTGGCTTGTTTTTTACAAATTATTTAAAATATTTAGCTAAGAAATAAAATCTAAAATATTTTAATTGTTCATTAATAATGTATTATTAGTATTACATTTTTATTTTATTTTATTTATTTATTTTTTTTTTTTTGAGAGAGAGGTCAAATAAATATTTTTTCCATCTGGGTAATTTGAAAAAAAACCTTAGTCTTTAGCACTTTATGAGTCTAAAATTTCATTCAAAATGGTCTTAAAATGTCTTAAAAAGTCTTTTAAAAAGGTGAAACCTGTAAGAAAAAAGTATGAAATCAGTGTACAATCAGTAACTGGTCACATAATAAATAAAAACAAGGAAATGATGTTGATTTTATAATGTTTAATAATTCACCAGTATAAAAGACACACACATGACATATATAGTGCATTTACATATGTGTATAATAATAATATAATAACAATACATTCATTTGCCCTGCATTATTAAAGAAGTTGACAAGGCAACAATAAAATACAAAGAGCAATTCAATTCAGCAGTCCTCAGGTGTGCTGGGATCGCCGAGTTGTTTCTCCTCTCTTACTCCATGACCTGAAACATAAATCAGTGTTATTTGTTTAAATGCATTACATTTTGGACACAGTTTAAAGGTTTAGTACACCCACAAATGAAAACCCCGCTTTTAATCACTCATTCCAATCCCCTGAGACTTTTGCTTATCTTCTGTATTTTTTTGTAGGCTTACAAATATGTTCTTGGACCCTTATATGATTAGAGTAAAAGTCACATCCATTGTTTTAAAAAATTTCTTTTTTTTTATTTAAGACAGAGGTGCTCAACCGTGTTCCTGGAGATCTACCTTCCTACAGAGTTCAGCTCCAACTCTGATCAAGCACACCTGAAGCAATTAATTAGTACCTAAACAACACTTGATAATTACAGGCAGGTGTGTTTGATATGAGTTGCAACTGAAATCTGCAGGAAGGTAGATCTCCAGGAACGGGGTTGAGCTTTCCTGATATCTTAATTTGTGTTCTGAAGATGAAAGTCTCAGTGGGTTGGAACAACATGAGGGTGAGTAATTAATAACAGAATTTTCTATTTTGTGGGGTAAGGTAATGCTTTAAGACTTAAGATCAGCGGTGTCCAAACTTTTTTCATGAAGGGCCAAAAACCAGTCTTGATTGAGCTTGTTGGACCAAAGTATACAAAACTCATTACATTAAAGTTGCTATTGGTGATTTCCTAAGTCATTCAACATTTAAACAAAACTAGAGAGCATTGATTTATATTAACTAATGCAGTATATATTCGTACAGTAAAAACAATCCTATTTATAACCAAATGGAGTTACACTAGTCAAGCTGCACCTGTTTTTTGCCTTGATGTGCATCACCGATGTGTTCCTCTATTTATTGAGTGACTATTTATATTTAATATAACATTTAATCGAATCATTTACTTTTAGTTTGCGTTTTTGTTGTCATTCTCACTCTCTTCTCAGATGGGATGTTGGGCGAAATCAAAGGGCAAATCAAGTTACCAAGGGGCCAACTTTGGCATGCCGACTCTAGTTTGGACACCTCTGCTTAAGATGATCAACAAAAATGAAAAGGCTTCATACCTTAAACCAGTTATGGAGATGCAGCTGCTGCAGAGCGAGTCTCTCATCTGGGTCTGGCTGCAGACAACCGCAGATCATCCGGCAGCATTCTGTGCAGAAAGAAGAATGGGATGTTTAAGGTTAATAGTTTATAGACCTTATTCTACAATGCCGAAGTGCCTTAGTATTTCCTATTTAGTTGCATACGGGAGAAATGACTAGGAATCATTAACAGTCAAACTGCTCGCTCTACAAACAAGCGTGTTCATGACTGTACATAAAAAGTAGAATGATATAATAAGACGATGTCGGTGTGCAACATTAACCAGCATAGCAAGCAGTTTATAACGTCTTAAAATCAGATTACATTACATTATCAGATAGATTACAATGGTTGCACTCGCTCGTACGTCAAAAATAGTTATAAGACCTGCTCTCTTTACACTTTGATGAAGCTCTCACCTTTTGACAGATCAGGGCTAGTCCAACGATAGTTCCTGATCAAGGAGTGGTCGGAGATACTAGGTAAAGCCCCACACATCATTGCAAACAGGACGATCCCTAGAGACCAAACAGTCGCCGGCTGTGCATGGTACCTGCCATACATTTCATACTCCGGAGGGAAATATTCTCTTGTGCCTAGAAAAAAAAAAGATATCATCCAATGGTTTATATATTTAAACAGAATCTTCAGTGTGTGGTTTTTATGACAACAAAGTTCATAACACTTACCACAGAAGACTTTGTAGCCGGATCTCTTTACGGTCGAACCACAGCCAAAGTCTATTAGCTTTACCTCCAAAGTGTCTGGATTCACCAGGAGGTTTTCAAGTTTTATGTCCCGATGGAAGACACCGCGATCAAAGCAAACGCTCGCAGCATGAATGGCCTGCCACATTATATGGCGTCCCATCTTCTCATCAAGAGGTTTGTTCTTGTGGTTTAAGAAGCGAAGCAAGTCCATACAAGGTGTGGGTCGCTCCATGATTATAATGTAGTGGTCATCGTTGTCCTCCCAGTCTATGAGTTTGATTATCTCGGGGACATAGGGACCATTGTTGGCCATGATTGCCAGGGCAATTTCTGTAGGGAGGGGTTTGACATAACCAGGCTAAAGGAGAGAAATGATGACAATTACATGGTTTCCTAAAGCTCTCTTAATGAAAACTCAATAGTAATCTGACATTAGCATACATATAGGGCTCTGAAACAAACTAATCAAGTGGATTTATCTAAATACAGTTGTAAATGGAGTCTTTAGCTGATCTACTTTTTTTTTCTTCAGATGTTTTATGTAGTAGGCCAATAGTTTCACAAAACCATTTTGTTTTCACTTCTGTTTTATTTTCTACACAATAAAGTCTAGTTTAAATGTAAGCTGCTCAATCTTCATGTGTGCTGTCATCCTTGTTTAGATCATGATTCAATTACAGTGGTTACCTCTAATTTCAAATGGAAAGCACACAGCAACACAAAAGCCTTACTTTACTTGTTTACGTACTTACTAAAAGGACATGTTTTCATTTACTATATAATGTCTTCAATCCCATTTTGTCCCATGCTAAGAAAATCAAATCTAGAATCAAATCAAATCATGACATTGAACTGTTTCTGGACTACTCACCACCTTGATTTCCTTCATCATTGGTGACTTTACAGCATATTTCACAGCAACCTGATCAATAAAGCAAAGAGTTAGCAGTTAGCATGTGGTAGAAGTTTTAAATAAAGCAATGATAAAGAAATGTTCTGTTAGTGAAAGCACCTCAAGTCCATCCCTGCGGCGTGTGGCTTTGTAGACTGAGCCGAATCCACCTTTGCCCAGCTTGTCACCAATTTTGTATTGCCTTAAAATGATGTCTGGTAATAAATAAACAACTGTAGTCAGTATGATGTACAATTTTAGATATATATTATTTTTTTTTTTCACGTTTGTAATACTAATAACAATTCTTATCTTACCATTTTCTGTGACGTCCTCCTCTAGCTGCTCAGCAGCAGGGACATGGTCCTCTAAAGCAGAAGCTGTAATATGAATCAAGTCACCGTTATGTAAATAGCACTTTATATAATACAGATTTTTTTTTTTAATTATTTAATTAATTAATTTTTTAATTAGTCTATGAAGATAAAGTCACATATAGAGACTTATTTTAATTTCATCCCACACAGAAATCTGATATATGTAAATTTGATATACTGTGTGTGTGTGTGTAGCCACAAATAAACACATACAAATATAATTATAGCAAATATATTTGTACATATTACATATTTGCTTATTTTTTGCTACTTATTTTTGTACATATGTACGTATTTATAATGCAAATGGTTAAAAAAACATACATAAACGACCATTTTTTGCAATCATTTAACATATATGGCTATGATTAACTTGTATGTCATATTTGTAATTTGCATAAACTTCCATATATCACATTTCTATAGACCATTTTGAGGGATGTAAACATTAACAGTGGTTCTAACATATATCCTGTTTTACATTTTTAATTTCCACAGCTTCCGAGACTACAAAAATGTCCACATATTGATAAATATTGCTGTGATGGCTGTTTTAACGTTAAGTTATGATTGGATTTGCCTTTTGTTAAGGTTATGAAATAGTTTGACATCAAGCAGGAATTGTTCATGGGCCAATGACATTAATATATTGAAATAGTTTATACAAGACCAGTTATAAATTATTACTTGATTAGATTTTTGGCTGTTAAACAATACTTGTATCATAACCACTTGTGAGTGTGATTTTACCTCTACTAGACTTCGAAGTGAAGAGATGAGTGAGTCTCTTCCAGAAGCCCTTTTTTTCCTTTCTTGCTTCAGGAACCTCATCAGGCCCAATGGTTGTTTCAATGGGCTGACATGAAACTTTCTGCTTCAACATGGCTTCATGGTAGTCCTTCGTGGCCTGGACGAGGTCGTATGTTCTAGATTTGCAAAGGAAGTCAGGCCACTTCCAGAAGCCCTTTTTTTCCTTTCTCGCTTCAGCAACCTCATCAAGCCCAACGGGTGTTTCAATGGGCTGACTAGAAACTTTTTGATTTAAAATGGCTTCATGGTGGTCCTTCGTGGCCTGGACGAGGTCGTATGTTCTAGTTTTGCGATGGAAGACTGGCCACTTCCAGAAGCCCTTTTTTACCTTTCTCCCTTCAGTAACCTCATCAGGCCCAACGGGTGTTTCAGTGGGCTGACAAGAAACTTTCTGATTTACCTCAGCTTCATACTGGTAGTCCTTCGCAGCCTGGACAAGGTCGTATTTTCCAGTTTTGCGGTGGAGGACTGGCCACTTCCAGGAGATTCTCTTTTTCTCCCTTCTCCCTATCTTTCCAACCTCAACATGCGGCTCATTAGAAACATGAAGATGGTTCTCTGGCATGTTGGGGGTGTACTTGAGTAGTACACAGGGACTGTGATCAGACTTCATGATGACAAATGTTTTCTAATAACAAACTGTTAATAGTAAACCGATCAATCTGCAACTCAAAATGCCAAAACTACAACCCACAAAAGCAAGTAGTAGAATGTCAGGCGATGATGTCATCCAGGCGCATTCTAAGAATTCTAATATGGAATGCTTTGGGCTGTTGTTATTTTTCAAATGTTTTAATCTTTCCAAGTTTGAAATGAATGTGATACTTAGCTGTTTTGTGTTTATAGTGGTTTGTAAATGCAGCAAAGGGTTGCTTACAGGCTAAAATTGTTAAGAAATCTGCATGGAGGAGTACATCAGATGACAATAATGTGACAATTGTATTATATTGGGCAAATAAATTGCAGCAGCCTCATATACATGCTGCTGTTTGTGTTGTTATTAATGGTAAAAGAAGAAAATTACTCACTTTTTGTGACTTGTAAGGATAAAAATTATACATATACATAAATATGAATGTATACGTCCCTTTTTTGTATATTCATTTTTAGTGAGGTCCAAATTATTAAGGTGAACCAACAGAGTGTCTTTATTTTCGTACTCTTATTTCTTGGTTATCAATTTCTAATGACATTATGAATAATTAAATTCAGCAAAGAAGCAGTGGAAAAACTTTAATTCTTTGATTTACTGCACATTTTGTTACAAATCTCTGAAATATTCTTGCAAAATGTGACATTATGTAAGGAAATATCCAAGAAAATGTGTATGGCTTTGTCTTGCTTTGACTGCTAAGTCTATTTAATAGACTCTGATGTACAGGCATGGGAAAAAAAATCTCAGCTTGAGTAAAACATAAGTTTTTGTTTCATTCTACACAGTTCTGATCAAATTTCTTCTCAATTTAATATAAATATGTAGCCATTTTAGCATAAATCAATTTAAAATGTAAGTAGAAGTAAGTTTTAGACGTGTTTATAAAAGTTTAGTTTATTTAAAGTTAAGAAATCAATAGCTTAGGACACATTAAGCACATCAAATAAAAACTTTTGTTATTTTAACCAACTTAAAAATGCTCTAAATGACAATGTTTTTATTTGAAATTTGGAAGAAATTGTATCAGTCCTTTATAGAATAAAACTAAAAACAGCTTCCCCAAACCCATAACTAATAAACCCAGAGAAATGGAGAATCTCTAATTCCCAAATGCAGGGTTCCACATAATTTATTCATGCCATCCCAACACCAATCGACTAAGTTAATGTAACAAATTTAAGTGGATTGAACAAATTGAGTTATCTCCAAAAAATCTCAAGAATTGAGTTGCTAATTTTACTTAAATCAGCAGCAAAATCAACAAAATCAGCAGCAATTTTATGTAATTTTATTTTTATAGCTGTATATTGTGACTCAAAAGTACGAAATATTACAAATATTTAGGGCACACAAGCACTTATATACTTATTATTTGAATGTCATCATATTAGACAACAAAATGACTACAACTGTTGACTACAATTGTTTTATGTTACTTTAACTTATTTAAATAAGTTAATTATGTTCCAACTACATTTTTTTTCAGTTTTTCAAAGTTTAACTTCATATTTTAGTCAGTTTGATTAATATAAGTTGTTTGTATTTAAAATTTAGTTGCTGTACTCCTATATGAGTAAATATATATATATATATATATATATATATATATATATATATATATATATATATATATTTTTTTTTTTTTTTTTTTTTTTTTACAGTCTGTAGTATCCCTTTGCATATTAGGTGACATATCCACAATCAATGTAAATAATACAAATGGTCAGTTTCTGCTGGTGGCTCTAACTATCGCAAAGAAAACTATCCTCATGAACTGGAAATCAAGAAATACCATTCACATCTCATACTGGAAAAACTTATTAACAGAATACATCTCCATTGAAGATCCTCTTTGCCTGAAGCCATTCCCTAACAACACCTTCATCAGTACATAAACAAGAGGGGAGGGGAGAGAGGAGGTCAGGTAGAGATAAGGAGGAAGAAAAAATAAAAAAAATTAATTTAAAATTTAATTTAAAATTAATAAATCAATTGGAAAAAAAAGTATAATGTAAACAATCAAAATAAAAGAATCATAATTCGGTCTTTATATACTTCTTTACTTTCCCTTTTGTTCTATTTGTTCCCCTTTTCTGTCTCTATCAATGTTATTTATTCATTTTATTATTATTATTATTTATAATATTTGTTTTCTATTTATTATTATTATTATACATAAATTATTATTATTATTATTAATTTTTATATACCAGTACTTTTCCTGACCAGTCCAACAACAGATAAATAAAAAAAAAAAAAGGGCTAGAAAGAGAAGAGGAGGAAAGGAAAAAAAAGAGAGAGAGAGAGAAAAAAAAACTACTTACATGTACTAAATTCACAGGGTAAAGTGTAACATAGGCATGGCAGCCTGGGCACTGAACTGGACTGATCCATGCCACACGTTACACTTTTTTTAATGCATCACAAAGCAACTGACAAACACTTTATACCTCAATGCTCATCACACAACTACAACCTCCTCAATTTATTGTTACAGCTGTTGTTCTTTTTATTATTATCATTATTATTAGTATTATTATTATTATTACCAACATGAGTATATTATAGTTATCAAGTTAATAATCTATCATACATATCTTTAATATTATTCTTCCATGTGGGTTTGTATAATTCATAATTAGCATTGATATAGTGTTTTCTTTTTTATTTAGTTAGTTTTTATTATTATTAATTTTTTTTATTCCCATTGCTTTGTTTGCTGAACTTTATTTATTTTATTTTTCACTCTTTTTGTTTCTTTTCTTTTTCTTCGACTTTTTATTATTATTTTATTAATTTTTGTTTGTCATTATTAGTTTATTTTCTCTTTTCCTCTCTTTCCCCTTCTACTTACTACTATTATTATTATTTATTAATATTATTATTGTTATTATTATTATTATTATTATTATTATTATTACTTGTCCTCTCCCTGATTTCCCATCCTCCCCTTTCCTCGACATCTTTGTCATAAATGGTATTACTTTTATTTTTTGTTATCATTATTATTATTAATGTTCTGACTTGTCTTGTTATCTTTTCATTATCATTATTACAAGTATTTATACCATTATCATTAGTAAGGTTGCAGTTGTTGTAGTTGTAACGGTAGTAGTTGTAGTAGTAGTAGTTGAAGTAGTAGTCATTGTAATAGTATCGATTGTTGAGTAATTGTTTCGAAGATTATAGAAGTTGTAGTTCATGTAGTAGTAGATGTCATTGGTATAGTAGTAGCAGAAGTAGTAATGGTGTGGTGGTTACAGTAGTAGTAGTAGTATTCGTTGTTGGTGTAGTAATATCAGTAGTAGATGTTGTTGATGTAGATGTAGTAGAAGTGATTGTAGTAGTAGTAGTAGTAGTAGTAGTAATAGTAGTAGTAGTAGTCGCAGTAGACATTGTTGTATTAATTGTAGCAAACGCTATAGTAGTATCAGTAGTGGTAGTCGTTGTAGTAGTATCAGTATTAGTAGACATTGTTGTAGTAGTAGTCGCGGTTGTGGCTGTAGTAGAAGCATTAGTAGTTGTAATATAAGTAACTTTCTGTAGAAGTAGTTGGTGTAGCACTTGTGATTTATTATTATTGTTGTCAGTTATTACTGTTGTCCTTTCTCTTTTTTTACTCGCATATTTACTATCATACATTAATAAGCATTGTTGTTACTCCCTACCTCTGACTGGTTTCTTTCTATATGTTTTATCTATATCTGTGACACTTGCTTCATTTATTGACTGTTATTGTTCCTAATGTATGTACTCTGACCTGTCCACCAAGTTACCTTTACATGCATACACACACTCACACGCACACACTCACGCACATACCAGTACCTGACTATATTGTTGATGTTTTTGTTGTTTTTGTTTTGTTGCTTTTTATTTGTTATCTGTTGATGTTTTCTTGTATTTGTATGATTTTTGCATATTCTAAAAAAAAAAAAAAAAAAACAGTCTGTAGTAAATATATATATACCGAGGTACACTGTATATCAGGGTGCAAATTACTGGGGGGTTTGGGGTGGATTGTTAATTAACGTTTGATCCCGAAGGAGGTCAAATCAATATATTTTTACTCTGATCCGTATAAAATTGAAATAATAAATATTAAATACACATTTGACCTCGGTTCAAACCATTGTTATTGCATAATTGCACCAATCAGTTTTTTCGAGAGTAAAGTGGCAGATCTAGAGCACCAATAGACATTGTGTTCAAAAGACGTTGTTTTCTATGAGGCGCTGTGTAGAATTTAAATCAAACTTCGCTTATCAACACACTCATAAAACACGTGCATATACACCTACACTATTGGAATGTTCAAAACAACATATATGAAACTTGCGCAGATACATAAAAACTTCACGCGTGCATACACCCACATACACACGCACATACTGTACATATAAACTCAATCCTTGCATAAACACCCACATTAACACACGCACATACATATAAACTTCAGCATGCAAACACACCTGTACTCGCATATACATATAAACTTGATCAGTGCATATGCACCCACCATAAACTCTCACATATTAATGTAAACTAGATGTGTGCATAAACACCCAAGTAACACTCACGCAACCATACAAAATAAAATTCACAATCATATATACAGCTAGTTGTGTATATACATATATGCAAGTGATTTCATATGAGTAAATGCATGAATTCTCAGTGCAAACGGAAGTTATTTCACATTAAAAGGAAGTAGGTCAATTTCAACTTAAAAGTCCTTTGAGCATAAATGAACAAGATCATTATTTGTCATCAATCTATGTTATTGCAAAGCTTAGGAAACAGAAATAATGCAAGTAATCGAGGAATTACATCTGTTTAATAATGAAAATAGATTATGGTAATCATAAAAAATATAAAAAGATAATGCTAAGGAATGCTCCAGCAAATGAAAGGTTTATTATGCAATTAAATTATTAGAAAGCTATGGGTTTAATAAATATAAGGTTGCATAAGTAATTATTTGGAATAAAATATGTTTGTTTAATATTAGTTTTTTATGTTTGTTTTATTATTGGTGTCATCATTCGTCATGGGTCACGATACACACTTATGTCCAGTAGGGAGCAGGAATCTTGTAATAACCTGATTCGTGAATTTTATTTTGTATGTTTGCACGAGTGTTGTTTGAGTGTTATTTGGGTGTTTATATTATATATATATATATATATATATATATATATATATATGCTTTACATTATAAATCAGCTCCTCCTAGCATTCGTCATGTGGTATATCGCACACAATAGCCTTATCTTTGACAAATTAAATCACAGCATGTTCATTTAAAAGTGATCATAACTGTATTTTTCATCTTCATCATCACCTTTGAGAGGGAAGATCACTGTTGGCAGTGTTTTGAACACTTAAGGGCACTCAAAAGAACATGTATGGCTGATTTCTGCTAGTGACATCCTACGTGCACTTCTGGCATTTTGCACTCTGTAGAACACTTAAGACTAACATATATTTAGGGAAAGCTTGTTTCTGAGCCTATTCTTGTATATTTTGGAACATTCAATTTGGGTATTTGTTCCAAATCTTAAGTTAAAATAATAGAAGATAATGAACATAAAATTGTTCACTCAAAAAATGTATTAGCTCTTAAATCTATTGCATTTCTAACATCTATGGGTCATGATTTTTGCTGCTTGAAAGTTTTTCAGTTGAATCAATTGAACTTTTCTTGTCATCTCAACTCAAACTGACTAAAATTGTTACAAAGTGAAACTTTGTTGAACTCAAAATATTTAGTTGAAACCTGACTAACTTTATAAAATGAGTTTAAAAATGTATTTGTAACATGATTAACTAAATAAAAAAAATGTATTCTTTTTTTGTCAAGTTTTTAAAGTGTATTATTTTAGCAAACATCATTTGGTTGTCTGAAGTGATGACAGTCAAATATTAAGTCTATAAGTGTTTGTGTGTCCTACATACACTCACCGGCCACTTTATTAGGTACACCTGTCCAACTGCTCGTTAACACGAATTTCTGATCACCCAATCACATGGCAGCAACTCAATGCATTTAGGCATGCAGACATGGCCCAGATGGACTGCTGCAGTTCAAACCGAGCATCAGAAAGGGGAAGAAAGTTGATAGTCAAAATATACAGCTATAGACATAAGGAAGTTTAAAAGTTTTATAGAAGTTTATGTTGGGGAAAAAACTGTATGGATACAAGTAGAGCTTGCTTGTTTTTTTACACATTATTTAAAATATTTAGCTAAGAAATAAAATCTAAAATATTTTAATTGTTCATTAATAATGTATTATTAGTATTACATTTTTATTTATTTATTTATTTATTTTTTGAGAGAGAGAGGTCAAATAAATATTTTTTCCATCTGGGTAATTTGAAAAAAACCCTTAGTCTTTAGCGCTTTATGAGTCTAAAATTTCATTCAAAATGGTCTTAAAATGTCTTAAAAAGTCTTTTAAAAAGGTGAAACCTGTAAGAAAAAAGTATGAAATCATTGTACAATCAGTAACTGGTCACAATAAATAAAAACAAGGAAATGATGTTGATTTTATAATGTTTAATAATTCACCAGTATAAAAGACACACACATGACATATATAGTGCATTTGCATATGTGTATAATAATAATATAATAATAACAATACATTCATTTGCCCTGCATTATTAAAGAAGTTGACAAGGCAACAATACAATACAAAGAGCAATTCAATTCAGCAGTCCTCAGGTGTGCTGGGGTCGCCGAGTTGTTTCTCCTCTCTTACTCCATGACCTGAAACATAAATCAGTGTTATTTGTCTAAATGCATTACATTTTGTACACAGTTTAAAGGTTTAGTACACCCACAAATGAAAACCCCGCTTTTAATCACTCATTCCAATCCCCTGAGACTTTTGCTTATCTTCTGTATTTTTTTGTAGGCTTACAAATATGTTCTTGGACCCTTATATGATTAGAGTAAAAGTCACATCCATTGTTTTAAAAAATTTCTTTTTTTTTATTTAAGACAGAGGTGCTCAACCGTGTTCCTGGAGATCTACCTTCCTCCAGAGTTCAGCTCCAACTCTGATCAAGCACACCTGAAGCAATTAATTAGTACCTGAACAACACTTGATAATTACAGGCAGGTGTGTTTGATATGAGTTGCAACTGAAATCTGCAGGAAGGTAGATCTCCAGGAACGGGGTTGAGCTCTCCTGATATCTTAATTTGTGTTCTGAAGATGAAAGTCTCAGTGGGTTGGAACGACATGAGGGTGAGTAATTAATAACAGAATTTTCTATTTTGTGGGGTAAGGTAATGCTTTAAGACTTAAGATCAGCGGTGTCCAAACTTTTTTCATGAAGGGCCAAAAACCAGTCTTGATTGAGCTTGTTGGACCAAAGTATACAAAACTCATTACATTAAAGTTGCTATTGGTGATTTCCTAAGTCATTCAACATTTAAACAAAACTAGAGAGCATTGATTTATACTAACTAATGCAGTATATATTCGTACAGTAAAAACAATCCTATTTATAACCAAATGGAGTTACACTAGTCAAGCTGCACCTGTTTTTTGCCTTGATGTGCATCACCGATGTGTTCCTCTATTTATTGAGTGACTATTTATATTTAATATAACATTTAATCGAATCATTTACTTTTAGTTTGCGTTTTTGTTGTCATTCTCACTCTCTTCTCTGATGGGATGTTGGGCGAAATCAAAGGGCAAATCAAGTTACCAAGGGGCCAACTTTGGCATGCCGACTCTAGTTTGGACACCTCTGCTTAAGATGATCAACAAAAATGAAAAGGCTTCATACCTTAAACCAGTTATGGAGATGCATCTGCTGCAGAGCGAGTCTCTCATCTGGGTCTGGCTGCAGACAACCGCAGATCATCCGGCAGCATTCTGTGCAGAAAGAAGAATGGGATGTTTAAGGTTAATAGTTTATAGACCTTATTCTACAATGCCGAAGTGCCTTAGTATTTCCTATTTAGTTGCATACGGGAGAAATGACTAGGAATCATTAACAGTCAAACTGCTCGCTCTACAAACAAGCGTGTTCATGACTGTACATAAAAAGTAGAATGATATAATAAGACGATGTCGGTGTGCAACATTAACCAGCATAGCAAGCAGTTTATAACGTCTTAAAATCAGATTACATTACATTATCAGATAGATTACAATGGTTGCACTCGCTCGTACGTCAAAAATAGTTATAAGACCTGCTCTCTTTACACTTTGATGAAGCTCTCACCTTTTGACAGATCAGGGCTAGTCCAACGATAGTTCCTGATCAAGGAGTGGTCGGAGATACTAGGTAAAGCCCCACACATCATTGCAAACAGGACGATCCCTAGAGACCAAACAGTCGCCGGCTGTGCATGGTACCTGCCATACATTTCATACTCCGGAGGGAAATATTCTCTTGTGCCTAGAAAAAAAAAAGATATCATCCAATGGTTTATATATTTAAACAGAATCTTCAGTGTGTGGTTTTTATGACAACAAAGTTCATGACACTTACCACAGAAGACTTTGTAGCCGGATCTCTTTACGGTCGAACCACAGCCGAAGTCTATTAGCTTTACCTCCAAAGTGTCTGGATTCACCAGGAGGTTTTCAAGTTTTATGTCCCGATGGAAGACACCGCGATCAAAGCAAACGCTCGCAGCATGAATGGCCTGCCACATTATATGGCGTCCCATCTTCTCATCAAGAGGTTTGTTCTTGTGGTTTAAGAAGCGAAGCAAGTCCATACAAGGTGTGGGTCGCTCCATGATTATAATGTAGTGGTCATCGTTGTCCTCCCAGTCTATGAGTTTGATTATCTCGGGGACGTAGGGACCATTGTTGGCCATGATTGCCAGGGCAATTTCTGTAGGGAGGGGTTTTACATAACCAGGCTAAAGGAGAGAAATGATGACAATTAGATGGTTTCCTAAAGCTCTCTTAATGAAAACTCAATAGTAATCTGACATTAGCATACATATAAGGCTCTGAAACAAACTAATCAAGTGGATTTATCTAAATACAGTTGTAAATGGAGTCTTTAGCTGATCTACTTTTTTTTTTCTTCAGATGTTTTATGTAGTAGGCCAATAGTTTCACAAAACCATTTTGTTTTCACTTCTGTTTTAATTTCTACACAATAAAGTCTAGTTTGAATGTAAGCTGCTCGTTCTTCATGTGTGCTGTCATCCTTGTTTAGATCATGATTCAATTACAGTGGTTACCTCTAATTTCAAATGGAAAGCACACAGCAACACAAAAGCCTTACTTTACTTGTTTACGTACTTACTAAAAGGACATGTTTTCATTTACTATATAATGTATTCAATCCCATTTTGTCCCATGCTAAGAAAATCAAATCTAGAATCAAATCAAATCATGACATTGAACTGTTTCTGGACTACTCACCACCTTCATTTCCTTCATCATCGGTGACTTTACAGTATATTTCACAGCAACCTGATCAATAAAGCAAAGAATTAGCAGTTAGCATGTGGTAGAAGTTTTAAATAAAGCAATGATAAAGAAATGTTCTGTTAGTGAAAGCACCTCAAGTCCATCCCTGCGGCGTGTGGCTTTGTAGACTGAGCCGAATCCACCTTTGCCCAGCTTGTCACCAATTTTGTATTGCCTTAAAATGATGTCTGGTAATAAATAAACAACTGTAGTCAGTATGATGTACAATTTTAGATATATATTTTTTTTTTTTCACGTTTGTAATACTAATAACAATTCTTATCTTACCATTTTCTGTGACGTCCTCCTCTAGCTGCTCAGCAGCAGGGACATGGTCCTCTAAAGCAGAAGCTGTAATATGAATCAAGTCACCGTTATGTAAATAGCACTTTATATAATACAGATTTTTTAATTAGTCTATGAATGTAAAGTCACATATAGAGACTTATTTTAATTTCATCCCACACAGAAATCTGATATATGTAAATTTGATATACTGTGTGTGTGTGTGTGTAGCCACAAATAAACACATACAAATATAATTATAGCAAATATATTTGTACATATTACATATTTGCTTATTTTTTGCTACTTATTTTTGTACATATGTACATATTTATGATGCAAATGGTTGAAAAAACATACATAAACGACCATTTTTGCAATCATTTAACATATATGGCTATGATTAACTTGTATGTCATATTTGTAATTTGCATATATTTTCATATATCACATTTCTATTTTGAGGGATGTAAACATTAACAGTGGTTCTAACATATATCCTGTTTTACATTTTTAATTTCCACAGCTTCCGAGACTACAAAAATGTCCACATATTGATAAATATTGCTGTGATGGCTGTTTTAACGTTAAGTTATGATTGGATTTGCCTTTTGTTAAGGTTATGAAATAGTTTGACATCAAGCAGGAATTGTTCATGGGCCAATGACATTAATACATTGAAATGGTATACACAAGACCAGTTATAAATTATTACTTGATTAGATTTTTGGCTGTTAAACAATACTTGTATCATAACCACTTGTGAGTGTGATTTTACCTCTACTAGACTTCGAAGTGAAGAGATGAGTGAGTCTCTTCCAGAAGCCCTTTTTTTCCTTTCTTGCTTCAGGAACCTCATCAGGCCCAATGGTTGTTTCAATGGGCTGACAAGAAACTTTCTGCTTCAACATGGCTTCATGGTAGTCCTTCGTGGCCTGGACGAGGTCGTATGTTCTAGATTTGCAAAGGAAGTCAGGCCACTTCCAGAAGCCCCTTTTTTCCTTTCTCTCTTCAGCAACCTCATCAAGCCCAACGGGTGTTTCAATGGGCTGACTAGAAACTTTTTGATTTAACATGGCTTCATGGTGGTCCTTCGTGGCCTGGACGAGGTCGTATGTTCTAGTTTTGCGATGGAAGACTGGCCACTTCCAGAAGCCCTTTTTTACCTTTCTCCCTTCAGTAACCTCATCAGGCCCAACGGGTGTTTCAGTGGGCTGACAAGAAACTTTCTGATTTACCTCAGCTTCATACTGGTAGTCCTTCGCAGCCTGGACAAGGTCGTATTTTCCAGTTTTGCGATGGAGGAGCTTCCAGGAGATTCTCTTTTTCTTCTTTCTCCCTATCTTTCCAACCTCAACATGCGGCTCATTAGAAACATGAAGATGGTTCTCTGGCATGTTGGGGGTGTACTTGAGTAGTACACAGGGACTGTGATCAGACTTCATGATGACAAATGTTTTCTAATAACAAACTGTTAATAGTAAACCGATCAATCTGCAACTCAAAATGCCAAAACTACAACCCACAAAAGCAAGTAGTAGAATGTCAGGCGATGATGTCATCCAGGCGCATTCTAAGAATTCTAATATGGAATGCTTTGGGCTGTTGTTATTTTTCAAATGTTTTAATCTTTCCAAGTTTGAAATGAATGGGATCCCGTTTTGTGTTTATAGTGGTTTGTAAATGCAGCAAAGGGTTGCTTACAGGCTAAAATTGTTAAGAAATCTGCATGGAGGAGTACATCAGATGTCAATAATATGACAATTGTATTATATTGGGCAAATAAATTGCAGCAGCCTCATATACATGCTGCTGTTTGTGTTGTTATTAATGGTAAAAGAAGAAAATGACTCACTTTTTGTGACTTGTAAGGATAAAAATTATACATATACATAAATATGAATGTATACGTCCCTTTTTTTGTATATTCATTTTAGTGAGGTCCAAATTATCAAGGTGAACCAACAGAGTGTCTTTATTTTCGTACTCTTATTTCTTGGTTATCAATTTCTAATGACATTATGAATAATTAAATTCAGCAAAGAAGCAGTGGAAAAACTTTAATTCTATGATTTACTGCACATTTTGTTACAAATCTCTGAAATATTCTTGCAAAATGTGACATTTTGTAAGGAAATATCCAAGAAAATGTGTATTTCTTTGTCTTGCTTTGACTGCTAAGTCTATTTAATAGACTCTGATGTACAGACATGGAAAAAAAATCTCAGCTTGAGTAAAACATAAGTTTTTGTTTCATTCTACACAGTTCTGATCAAATTTCTTCTCAATTTAATATAACTATGTAGCCATTTTAGCATAAATCAATTTAAAATGTAAGTAGAAGTAAGTTTTAGACGTGTTTATAAAAGTTTAGTTTATTTATAGTTAAGAAATCAAAAGCTTAGGACACATTAAGCACATCAAATAAAAACTTTTGTTATTTTGACCAACTTAAAAATGCTCTAAATGACAATGTTTTTATTTGAAATTTGGAAGAAATTGTATCAGTCCTTTATAGAATAAAACTAATAACAGCTTCCCCAAACCCATAACTAATAAACCCAGAGAAATGGAGAATCTCTAATTCCCAAATGCAGGGTTCCACATTATTTATTCATGCCATCCCAACACCAATCGACTAAGTTAATGTAACAAATTTAAGTGGATTGAACAAATTGAGTTATCTCCAAAAAATCTCAAGAATTGAGTTGCTTCAGGTAATTTTACTTAAATCAGCAGCAAAATCAACAAAATCAGCAGCAATTGTATGTAATTTTATTTTTATAGCTGTATATTGTGACTCAAAAGTTCGAAATATTACAAATATTTAGGACACACAAGCACTTATATACTTATTATTTAAATGTCATCATATTAGACAACAAAATGACAACAACTGTTGACTACAATTGTTTTATGTTACTTTAACTTATTTAAATAAGTTAATTATGTTCCAACTACATTTTTTTTTCAGTTTTTCAAAGTTTAACTTCATATTTTAGTCAGTTTGATTAATATAAGTTGTTTGTATTTAAAATTTAGTTGCTGTACTCCTATATGAGTAAAAAAAAAAAAAAAAAAAAAAAAAATATATATATATATATATATATATATATATATATATATATATATATTTTATTTATTTATTTATTTTAACAGTCTGTAGTAAATATATATATATATATACCGAGGTACACTGTATATCAGGGTGTGAATTACTGGGGGGTTTGGGGTGGATTGTTAATTAAAGTTTGATCCCGAAGGAGGTCAAAACAATATATTTTTACTCTGATCCGTATAAAATTGAAATAATAAATATTAAATACACATTTGACCTCGGTTCAAACCATTGTTATTGCATAATTGCACCAATCAGTTTATTCGAGAGTAAAGTGGCAGATCTAGAGCACCAATAGACATCGTGTTCAAAAGACGTTGTTTTCTATGAGGCGCTGTGTAGAATTTAAATCAAACTTCGCTTATCAACACACTCATAAAACACGTGCATATACACCTACACTATTGGAATGTTCAAAACAACATATATGAAACTTGCGCAGATACATATAAACTTCACGCATGCATACACCCACATACACACGCACATACATATAAACTCAATCCTTGCATAAACACCCACATTAACACACGCACATACATATAAACTTCAGCATGCAAACACACCTGTACACACTCGCATATACATATAAACTTGATCAGTGCATATGCACCCACCATAAACTCTCACATATTAATGTAAACTCGATGTGTGCATAAACACCCAAGTAACACTCACGCAACCATTCAAAATAAAATTCACAATCATATATACAGCTAGTTGTGTATATACATATATGCAAGTGATTTCATATGAGTTTATGCATGAATTCTCAGTGCAAACGGAAGTTATTTCACATTAAAAGGAAGTAGGTCAATTTCAACTTAAAAGTCCTTTGAGCATAAATGAACAAGATCATTATTTGTCATCAATCTATGTTATTGCAAAGCTTAGGAAACAGAAATAATGCAAGTAATCGAGGAATTACATCTGTTTAATAATGAAAATAGATTATGGTAATCATAAAAAATATAAAAAGATAATGCTAAGGAATGCTCCAGCAAATGAAAGGTTTATTATGCAATTAAATTATTAGAAAGCTATGGGTTTAATAAATATAAGGTTGCATAAGTAATTATTTGGAATAAATACTGTTTGTTTAATATTAGTTTTTTATGTTTGTTTTATTATTGGTGTCATCATTCGTCATGGGTCACGATACACACTTATGTCCAGTAGGGAGCAGGAATCTTGTAATAACCTGATTCGTGAATTTTATTTTGTATGTTTGCGCGAGTGTTATTTGAGTGTTATTTGGGTGTTTATATTATATATATATATGCTTTACATTATAAATCAGCTCCTCCTAGCATTCGTCATGTGGTATATCGCACACAATAGCCTTATCTTTGACAAATTAAATCACAGCATGTTCATTTAAAAGTGATCATAGCTGTATTTTTCATCTTCATCATCACCTTTGAGAGGGAAGATCACTGTTGGCAGTGTTTTGAACACTTAAGGGCACTCAAAAGAACATGTATGGCTGATTTCTGCCAGTGACATCCTACGTGCACTTCTGGCATTTTGCTGTCTGTAGAACACTTAAGACTAACATATATTTAGGGAAAGCTTGTTTCTGAGCCTATTCTTGTATATTTTGGAACATTCAATTTGGGTATTTGTTCCAAATCTTAAGTTAAAATAATAGAAAATAGTGAACATAAAATTGTTCACTCAAACTATTAATTAGCTCTTAAATCTATTGCATTTCTAACATCTATGGGTCATAATTTTTAATTAAATAATGAACTTTTCTAGTCATCTCAACTCAAACTGACTAAAATTGTTACAAAGTTAAACTTTGTTGAACTCAAAATATTTAGTTGAAACCTGACTAACTTTATAAAATGAGTTTAAAAATGTATTTGTAACATGATTAACTAAATAAAAAAAATTATTCTTTTTTTGTCAAGTTTTTAAAGTGTATTATTTTAGCAAACATCATTTGGTTGTCTGAAGTGATGACAGTCAAATATTAAGTCTATAAGTGTTTGTGTGTCCTACATACACTCACCGGCCACTTTATTAGGTACACCTGTCCAACTGCTCGTTAACACGAATTTCTGATCACCCAATCACATGGCAGCAACTCAATGCATTTAGGCTTGCAGACATGGCCCAGACGGACTGCTGCCGTTCAAACCGAGCATCAGAAAGGGGAAGAAAGTTGATATTCAAAATATACAGCTATAGACATAAGGAAGTTTAGAAGTTTTATAGAAGTTTATGTTGGGGAAAAAACTGTATGGATACAAGTAGAGCTGGCTTGTTTTTTACAAATTATTTAAAATATTTAGCTAAGAAATAAAATAAAAAATATTTTAATTGTTCATTAATAATGTCTTATTAGTATTAAAATTTTATTTATTTATTTATTTATTTTTTTTTTTTTTGAGAGAGAGGTCAAATAAATATTTTTTCCATCTGGGTAATTTGAAAAAAAACCTTAGTCTTTAGCGCTTTATGAGTCTAAAATTTCATTCAAAATGATCTTAAAATGTCTTAAAAAGTCTTTTAAAAAGGTGAAACCTGTAAGAAAAAAAGTATGAAATCATTGTAAAATCAGTAACTGGTCACATAATAAATAAAAACAAGGAAATGATGTTGATTTTATAATGTTTAATAATTCACCAGTATAAAAGACACACACATGACATATATAGTGCATTTGCATATGTGTATAATAATAATATATTAACAATACATTCATTTGCCCTGCATTATTAAAGAAGTTGACAAGGCAACAATAAAATACAAAGAGCAATTCAATTCAGCAGTCCTCAGGTGTGCTGGGATCGCCGAGTTGTTTCTCCTCTCTTACTCCATGACCTGAAACATAAATCAGTGTTATTTGTCTAAATGCATTACATTTTGTACACAGTTTAAAGGTTTAGTACACCCACAAATGAAAACCCCGCTTTTAATCACTCATTCCAATCCCCTGAGACTTTTGCTTATCTTCTGTATTTTTTTGTAGGCTTACAAATATGTTCTTGGACCCTTATATGATTAGAGTAAAAGTCACATCCATTGTTTTAAAAAATTTCTTTTTTTTGATTTAAGACAGAGGTGCTCAACCGTGTTCCTGGAGATCTACCTTCCTCCAGAGTTCAGCTCCAACTCTGATCAAGCACACCTGAAGCAATTAATTAGTACCTGAACAACACTTGATAATTACAGGCAGGTGTGTTTGATATGAGTTGCAACTGAAATCTGCAGGAAGGTAGATCTCCAGGAACGGGGTTGAGCTTTCCTGATATCTTAATTTGTGTTCTGAAGATGAAAGTCTCAGTGGGTTGGAACAACATGAGGGTGAGTAATTAATAACAGAATTTTCTATTTTGTGGGGTAAGGTAATGCTTTAAGACTTAAGATCAGCGGTGTCCAAACTTTTTTCATGAAGGGCCAAAAACCAGTCTTGATTGAGCTTGTTGGACCAAAGTATACAAAACTCATTACATTAAAGTTGCTATTGGTGATTTCCTAAGTCATTCAACATTTAAACAAAACTAGAGAGCATTGATTTATATTAACTAATGGAGTATATATTCGTACAGTAAAAACAATCCTATTTATAACCAAATGGAGTTACACTAGTCAAGCTGCACCTATTTTTTGCCTTGATGTGCATCACCGATGTCTTCCTCTATTTATTGAGTGACTATTTATATTTAATATAACATTTCATCGAATCATTTACTTTGCATTCAGTTTGCATTTTTGTTGTCATTCTCACTCTCTTCTCAGATGGGATGTTGGGCGAAATCAAAGGGCAAATCAAGTTACCAAGGGGCCAACTTTGGCCTGCCGACTCTAGTTTGGACACTTCTGCTTAAGATGATCAACAAAAATGAAAAGGCTTCATACCTTAAACCAGTTATGGAGATGCATCTGCTGCAGTGCGAGTCTCTCATCTGGGTCTGGCTGCAGACAACCGCAGATCATCCGGCAGCATTCTGTGCAGAAAGAAGAATGGGATGTTTAAGGTTAATAGTTTATAGACCTTATTTTACAATGCCGAAGTGCCTTAGTATTTCCGATTTAGTTGCCTACGGGAGAAATGAGTAGGAATCATTAACAGTCAAACTGCTCGCTCTACAAACAAGCGTGTTCATGACTGTACATAAAAAGTAGAATGATAATAAGACGATGTCGGTGTGCAACATTAACCACCATAGCAAGCAGTTTATAACGTCTTAAAATCAGATTACATTACATTATCAGATAGATTACAATGGTTGCACTCGCTCGTACGTCAAAAATAGTTATAAGAACTGCTCTCTTTACACTTTGATGAAGCTCTCACCTTTTGACAGATCAGGGCTAGTCCAACGATAGTTCCTGATCAAGGAGTGGTCGGAGATACTAGGTAAAGCCCCACACATCATTGCAAACAGGACGATCCCTAGAGACCAAACAGTCGCCGGCTGTGCATGGTACCTGCCATACATTTCATACTCCGGAGGGAAATATTCTCTTGTGCCTAGAAAAAAAAAAGATATCATCCAATGGTTTATATATTTAAACAGAATCTTTAGTGTGTGGTTTTTATGACAACAAAGTTCATAACACTTACCACAGAAGATTTTGTAGCCGGATCTCTTTACGGTCGAACCACAGCCGAAGTCTATTAGCTTTACCTCCAAAGTGTCTGGATTCACCAGGAGGTTTTCAAGTTTTATGTCCCGATGGAAGACACCGCGATCAAAGCAAACGCTCGCAGCATGAATGGCCTGCCACATTATATGGCGTCCCATCTTCTCATCAAGAGGTTTGTTCTTGTGGTTTAAGAAGCGAAGCAAGTCCATACAAGGTGTTGGTCGCTCCATGATTATAATGTAGTGGTCATCGTTGTCCTCCCAGTCTATGAGTTTGATTATCTCGGGGACGTAGGGACCATTGTTGGCCATGATTGCCAGGGCAATTTCTGTAGGGAGGGGTTTTACATAACCAGGCTAAAGAGAGAAATGATGACAATTAGATGGTTTCCTAAAGCTCTCTTAATGAAAACTCAATAGTAATCTGACATTAGCATACATATAAGGCTCTGAAACAAACTAATCAAGTGGATTTATCTAAATACTGTTGTAAATGGAGTCTTTAGCTGATCTACTTTTTTTTTTCTTCAGATGTTTTATGTAGTAGACCAATAGTTTCACAAAACCATTTTGTTTTCACTTCTGTTTTAATTTCTACACAATAAAGTCTAGTTTAAATGTAAGCTGCTCAATCTTCATGTGTGCTGTCATCTTTGTTTAGATCATGATTCAATTACAGTGGTTACCTCTAATTTCAAATGGAAAGCACACAGCAACACAAAAGCCTTACTTTACTTGCGTATGTACTTACTAAAAGGACATGTTTTCATTTACTATATAATGTCTTCAATCCCATTTTGTCCCATGCTAAGAAAATCAAATCTAGAATCAAATCAAATCATGACATTGAATTGTTTCTGGACTACTCACCACCTTCATTTCCTTCATCATCGGTGACTTTACAGCATATTTCACAGCAACCTGATCAATAAAGCAAAGAATTAGCAGTTAGCATGTGGTAGAAGTTTTAAATAAAGCAATGATAAAGAAATGTTTTGTTAGTGAAAGCACCTCAAGTCCATCCCTGCGGCGTGTGGCTTTGTAGACTGAGCCGAATCCACCTTTGCCCAGCTTGTCACCAATTTTGTATTGCCTTAAAATGATGTCTGGTAATAAATAAACAACTGTAGTCAGTATGATGTACAATTTTAGATATATATTATTTTTTTTCACGTTTATAATACTAATAACAATTCTTATCTTACCATTTTCTGTGACGTCCTCCTCTAGCTGCTCAGCAGCAGGGACATGGTCCTCTAAAGCAGAAGCTGTAATATGAATCAAGTCACCGTTATGTAAATAGCACTTTATATAATACAGATTTTTTAATTAGTCTATGAATGTAAAGTCACATATAGAGACTTATTTTAATTTCATCCCACACAGAAATCTGATATATGTAAATTTGATATACTGTGTGTGTGTGTAGCCACAAATAAACACATACAAATATAATTATAGCAAATATATTTGTACATATTACATATTTGCTTATTTTTTGCTACTTATTTTTGTACATATGTACGTATTTATAATGCAAAAGGTTGAAAAAACATACATAAACGACCATTTTTGCAATAATTTAACATATATGGCTATGATTAACTTGTATGTCATATTTGTAATTTGCATATATTTTCATATATCACATTTCTATAGACCATTTTGAGGAATGTAAACATTAACAGTGGTTCTAACATATATCCTGTTTTACATTTTTAATTTCCACAACTTCCGAGACTACAAAAATGTCCACATATTGATAAATATTGCTGTGATGGCTGTTTTAACGTTAAGTTATGATTGGATTTGCCTTTTGTTAAGGTTATGAAATAGTTTGACATCAAGCAGGAATTGTTCACGGGCCAATGACATTAATACATTGAAATGGTATACACAAGACCAGTTATAAATTGTTACTTGATTAGATTTTTGGCTGTTAAACAATACTTGTATCATAACCACTTGTGAGTGTGATTTTACCTCTACTAGACTTCGAAGTGAAGAGATGAGTGAGTCTCTTCCAGAAGCCCTTTTTTTCCTTTCTTGCTTCAGTAACCTCATCAGGCCCAATGGTTGTTTCAATGGGCTGACATGAAACTTTCTGCTTCAACATGGCTTCATGGTAGTCCTTCGTAGCCTGGACGAGGTCGTATGTTCTAGATTTGCAAAGGAAGTCAGGCCACTTCCAGAAGCCCCTTTTTTCCTTTCTCTCTTCAGCAACCTCATCAAGCCCAACGGGTGTTTCAATGGGCTGACTAGAAACTTTTTGATTTAACATGGCTTCATGGTAGTCCTTTGTGGCCTGGACGAGGTCGTATGTTCTAGTTTTGCGACAGAAGACTGGCCACTTCCAGAAGCCCTTTTTTACCTTTCTCCCTTCAGTAACCTCATCAGGCCCAACGGGTGTTTCAGTGGGCTGACAAGAAACTTTCTGATTTACCTCAGCTTCATACTGGTAGTCCTTCGCAGCCTGGACAAGGTCGTATTTTCCAGTTTTGCGATGGAGGAGCTTCCAGGAGCTTCTCTTTTTCTTCTTTCTCCCTATCTTTCCAACCTCAACATGCGACTCATTAGAAACATGAAGATGGTTCTCTGGCATGTTGGGGGTGTACTTGAGTAGTACACAGGGACTGTGATCAGACTTCATGATGACAAATGTTTTCTAATAACAAACTGTTAATAGTAAACCGATCAATCTGCAACTCAAAATGCCAAAACTACAACCCACAAAAGCAAGTAGTAGAATGTCAGGCGATGATGTCATCCAGGCGCATTCTAAGAATTCTAATATGGAATGCTTTGGGCTGTTGTTATTTTTCAAATGTTTTAATCTTTCCAAGTTTGAAATGAATGTGATACTTTGCTGTTTTGTGTTTATAGTGGTTTGTAAATGCAGCAAAGGGTTGCTTACAGGCTAAAATTGTTAAGAAATCTGCATGGAGGAGTACATCAGATGTCAATAATGTGACAATTGTATTATATTGGGCAAATAAATTGCAGCAGCCTCATATACATGCTGCTGTTTGTGTTGTTATTAATGGTAAAAGAAGAAAATGACTCACTTTTGGTGACTTGTAAGGAAAAAAATTATACATATACATAAATATGAATGTATACGTCCCTTTTTTTGTATATTCATTTTTAGTGAGGTCCAAATTATCAAGGTGAACCAACAGAGTGTCTTTATTTTCGTACTCTTATTTCTTGGTTATCAATTTCTAATGACATTATGAATAAATAAATTTAGCAAAGAAGCAGTGGAAAAACTTTAATTCTTTGATTTACTGCACATTTTGTTACAAATCTCTGAAAAATTCTTGCAAAATGTGACATTTTGTAAGGAAATATCCAAGAAAATGTGTATGTCTTTGTCTTGCTTTGACTGCTAAGTCTATTTAATAGATTCTGATGTACAGACATGGAAAAAAAATCTCAGCTTGAGTAAAACATAAGTTTTTGTTTCATTCTACACAGTTCTGATCAAATTTCTTCTCAATTTAATATAACTATGTAGCCATTTTAGCATAAATCAATTTAAAATGTAAGTAGAAGTAAGTTTTAGACGTGTTTATAAAAGTTTAGCTTATTTAAAGTTAAGAAATCAATAGCTTAGGACACATTAAGTACATCAAATAAAAACTTTTGTTATTTTGACTAACTTAAAAATGCTCTAAATGACAATGTTTTTATTTGAAATTGGGAAGAAATTGTATCAGTCCTTTATAGAATAAAACTAATAACAGCTTCCCCCAAACCCATAACTAATAAACCCAGAGAAATGGAGAATCTCTAATTCCCAAATGCAGAGTTCCACATAATTTATTCATGCCATCCCAACACCAATCGACTAAGTTAATGTAACAAATTTAAGTGGATTGGACAAATTGAGTTATCTCCAAAAAATCTCAAGAATTGAGTTGCTTCAGCTAATTTTACTTAAATCAGCAGCAAAATCAACAAAATCAGCAGCAATTTTATGTAATTTTATTTTTATAGCTGTATATTGTGACTCAAAAGTTCGAAATATTACAAATATTTAGGACACACAAGCACTTATATACTTATTATTTAAATGTCATCATATTAGACAAAAAAACGACAACAACTGTTGACTACAATTGTTTTATGTTACTTTAACTTATTTAAATAAGTTAATTATATTCCAACTACATTTTTTTTCAGTTTTTCAAAGTTTAACTTCATATTTTAGTCAGTTTGATTAATATAAGTTGTTTGTATTTAAAATTTAGTTGCTGTACTCCTATATGAGTAAAAAAAAAATATATATATATATATATATATATATATTTTAATTTATTTATTTATTTTATTTTTTTAACAGTCTGTAGTAAATATATATATTGTTTTCTATGAGGCGCTGTGTAGAATTTAAATCAAACTTCGCTTATCAACACACTCATAAAACACGTGCATATACACCTACACTATTGGAATGTTCAAAACAACATATATGAAACTTGTGCAGATACATAAAAACTTCACGCATGCATACACCCACATACACAGGAAACAGAAATAATGCAAGTAATCGAGGAATTACATCTGTTTAATAATGAAAATAGATTATGGTAATCATAAAAAATATAAAAAGATAATGCTAAGGAATGCTCCAGCAAAATGAAAGGTTTATTATGCAATTAAATTATTAGAAAGCTATGGGTTTAATAAATATAAGGTTGCATAAGTAATTATTTGGAATAAATACTGTTTGTTTAATATTAGTTTTTTATGTTTGTTTTATTATTGGTGTCATCATTCGTCATGGGTTACGATACACACTTATGTCCAGTAGGGAGCAGGAATCTTGTAATAACCTGATTCGTGAATTTTATTTTGTATGTTTGCGCGAGTGTTATTTGAGTGTTATTTGGGTGTTTATATTATATATATATATATATATATATATATGCTTTACATTATAAATCAGCTCCTCCTAGCATTCGTCATGTGGTATCTCGCACACAATAGCCTTATCTTTGACAAATTAAATCACAGCATGTTCATTTAAAAGTGATCATGACTGTATTTTTCATCTTCATCATCACCTTTGAGAGGGAAGATCACTGTTAGCAGTGTTTTGAACACTTAAGGGCACTCAAAAGAACATGTATGGCTGATTTCTGCCAGTGACATCCTACGTGCACTTCTGGCATTTTGCTGTCTGTAGAACACTTAAGACTAACATATATTTAGGGAAAGCTTGTTTCTGAGCCTATTCTTGTATATTTTGGAACATTCAATTTGGGTATTTGTTCCAAATCTTAAGTTAAAATAATAGAAAATAGTGAACATAAAATTGTTCACTCAAACTATTAATTAGCTCTTAAATCTATTGCATTTCTAACATCTATGGGTCATAATTTTTGCTGCTTGAAAGTTTTTCAGTTGAATCAATTGAACTTTTCTAGTCATCTCAACTCAAACTGACTAAAATTGTTACAAAGTTAAACTTTGTTGAACTCAAAATATTTAGTTAAAACCTGACTAACTTTATAAAATGAGTTTAAAAATGTATTTGTAACATGATTAACTAAATAAAAAAAATTATTCTTTTTTTGTCAAGTGATTAAAGTGTATTATTTTAGCAAACATCATTTGGTTGTCTGAAGTAATGACAGTCAAATATTAAGTCTATAAGTGTTTGTGTGTTCTACATACACTCACCGGCCACTTTATTAGGTACACCTGTCCAACTGCTCGTTAACACAAATTTCTGATCACCCAATCACATGGCAGCAACTCAATGCATTTAGGCATGCAGACATGGCCCAGACGGACTGCTGCCGTTCAAACCGAGCATCAGAAAGGGGAAGAAAGTTGATAGTCAAAATATACAGCTATAGACATAAGGAAGTTTAGAAGTTTTATAGAAGTTTATGTTGGGGAAAAAACTGTATGGATACAAGTAGAGCTTGCTTGTTTTTTACAAATTATTTAAAATATTTAGCTAAGAAATAAAATAAAAAAATATTTTAATTGTTCATTAATAATGTATTATTAGTATTACAATTTTATTTATTTTTATTTTATTTTTTGAGAGAGAGAGGTCAAATAAATATTTTTTCCATCTGGGTAATTTGAAAAAAAACCTTAGTCTTTAGCGCTTTATGAGTCTAAAATTTCATTCAAAATGGTCTTAAAATGTCTTAAAAAGTCTTTTAAAAAGGTGAAACCTGTAAGAAAAAAAGTATGAAATCAGTGTACAATCAGTAACTGGTCACAATAAATAAAAACAAGGAAATGATGTTGATTTTATAATGTTTAATAATTCACCAGTATAAAAGACACACACATGACATATATAGTGCATTTGCATATGTGTATAATAATAATATATTAACAATACATTCATTTGCCCTGCATTATTAAAGAAGTTGACAAGGCAACAATACAATACAAAGAGCAATTCAATTCAGCAGTCCTCAGGTGTGCTGGGGTCGCCGAGTTGTTTCTCCTCTCTTACTCCATGACCTGAAACATAAATCAGTGTTATTTGTCTAAATGCATTACATTTTGTACACAGTTTAAAGGTTTAGTACACCCACAAATGAAAACCCCGCTTTTAATCACTCATTCCAATCCCCTGAGACTTTTGCTTATCTTCTGTATTTTTTTTGTAGGCTTACAAATATGTTCTTGGACCCTTATATGATTAGAGTAAAAGTCACATCCATTGTTTAAAAAATTTTACTTTTTTTGATTTAAGACAGAGGTGCTCAACCGTGTTCCTGAAGATCTACCTTCCTCCAGAGTTCAGCTCCAACTCTGATCAAGCACACCTGAAGCAATTAATTAGTACCTGAACAACACTTGATAATTACAGGCAGGTGTGTTTGATATGAGTTGCAACTGAAATCTGCAGGAAGGTAGATCTCCAGGAACGGGGTTGAGCTCCCCTGATATCTTAATTTGTGTTCTGAAGATGAAAGTCTCAGTGGGTTGGAACAACATGAGGGTGAGTAATTAATAACAGAATTTTCTATTTTTTAGGGTAAGGTAATGCTTTAAGACTTAAGATCAGCGGTGTCCAAATTTTTTCATGAAGGGCCAAAAACCAGTCTTGATTGAGCTTGTTGGACCAAAGTATACAAAACTCATTACATTAAAGTTGCTATTGGTGATTTCCTAAGTCATTCAACATTTAAACAAAACTAGAGAGCATTGATTTATATTAACTAATGCAGTATTTATTCGTACAGTAAAAACAATCCTATTTATAACCAAATGGAGTTACACTAGTCAAGCTGCACCTGTTTTTTGCCTTGATGTGCATCACCGATGTGTTCCTCTATTTATTGAGTGACTATTTATATTTAATATAACATTTCATCGAATCATTTACTTTGCATTCAGTTTGCATTTTTGTTGTCATTCTCACTCTCTTCTCAGATGGGATGTTGGGCGAAATCAAAGGGCAAATCAAGTTACCAAGGGGCCAACTTTGGCATGCCGACTCTAGTTTGGACACTTCTGCTTAAGATGATCAACAAAAATGAAAAGGCTTCATACCTTAAACCAGTTATGGAGATGCATCTGCTGCAGAGCGAGTCTCTCATCTGGGTCTGGCTGCAGACAACCGCAGATCATCCGGCAGCATTCTGTGCAGAAAGAAGAATGGGATGTTTAAGGTTAATAGTTTATAGACCTTATTCTACAATGCCGAAGTGCCTTAGTATTTCCTATTTAGTTGCATACGGGAGAAATGACTAGGAATCATTAACAGTCAAACTGCTCGCTCTACAAACAAGCGTGTTCATGACTGTACATAAAAAGTAGAATGATATAATAAGACGATGTCGGTGTGCAACATTAACCAGCATAGCAAGCAGTTTATAACGTCTTAAAATCAGATTACATTACATTATCAGATAGATTACAATGGTTGCACTCGCTCGTACGTCAAAAATAGTTATAAGACCTGCTCTCTTTACACTTTGATGAAGCTCTCACCTTTTGACAGATCAGGGCTAGTCCAACGATAGTCCCTGATCAAGGAGTGGTCGGAGATACTAGGTAAAGCCCCACACATCATTGCAAACAGGACGATCCCTAGAGACCAAACAGTCGCCGGCTGTGCATGGTACCTGCCATACATTTCATACTCCGGAGGGAAATATTCTCTTGTGCCTAGAAAAAAAAAAAAGATATCATCCAATGGTTTATATATTTAAACAGAATCTTTAGTGTGTGGTTTTTATGACAACAAAGTTCATAACACTTACCACAGAAGACTTTGTAGCCGGATCTCTTTACGGTCGAACCACAGCCGAAGTCTATTAGCTTTACCTCCAAAGTGTCTGGATTCACCAGGAGGTTTTCAAGTTTTATGTCCCGATGGAAGACACCGCGATCAAAGCAAACGCTCGCAGCATGAATGGCCTGCCACATTATATGGCGTCCCATCTTCTCATCAAGAGGTTTGTTCTTGTGGTTTAAGAAGCGAAGCAAGTCCATACAAGGTGTGGGTCGCTCCATGATTATAATGTAGTGGTCATCGTTGTCCTCCCAGTCTATGAGTTTGATTATCTCGGGGACGTAGGGACCATTGTTGGCCATGATTGCCAGGGCAATTTCTGTCGGGAGGGGTTTTACATAACCAGGCTAAAGAGAGAAATGATGACAATTAGATGGTTTCCTAAAGCTCTCTTAATGAAAACTCAATAGTAATCTGACATTAGCATACATATAAGGCTCTGAAACAAACTAATCAAGTGGATTTATCTAAATACAGTTGTAAATGGAGTCTTTAGCTGATCTACTTTTCTTTCTTCAGATGTTTTATGTAGTAGGCCAATAGTTTCACAAAACCATTTTGTTTTCACTTCTGTTTTAATTTCTACATTATAAAGTCTAGTTTGAATGTAAGCTGCTCGTTCTTCATGTGTGCTGTCATCTTTGTTTAGATCATGATTCAATTACAGTGGTTACCTCTAATTTCAAATGGAAAGCACACAGCAACACAAAAGCCTTACTTTACTTGCTTACGTACTTACTAAAAGGACATGTTTTCATTTACTATATAATGTCTTTAATCCCATTTTGTCCCATGCTAAGAAAATCAAATCTAGAATCAAATCAAATCATGACATTGAATTGTTTCTGGACTACTCACCACCTTCATTTCCTTCATCATCGGTGACTTTACAGCATATTTCACAGCAACCTGATCAATAAAGCAAAGAATTAGCAGTTAGCATGTGGTAGAAGTTTTAAATAAAGCAATGATAAAGAAATGTTCTGTTAGTGAAAGCACCTCAAGTCCATCCCTGCGGCGTGTGGCTTTGTAGACTGAGCCGAATCCACCTTTGCCCAGCTTGTCACCAATTTTGTATTGCCTTAAAATGATGTCTGGTAATAAATAAACAACTGTAGTCAGTATAATGTACAATTTTAGATATATATATATTTCTTTTCACGTTTGTAATACTAATAACAATTCTTATCTTACCATTTTCTGTGACGTCCTCCTCTAGCTGCTCAGCAGCAGGGACATGGTCCTCTAAAGCAGAAGCTGTAATATGAATCAAGTCACCGTTATGTAAATAGCACTTTATATAATACAGATTTTTTATTTAGTCTATGAATGTAAAGTCACATATAGAGACTTATTTTAATTTCATCCCACACAGAAATCTGATATATGTAAATTTGATATACTGTGTGTGTGTGTGTGTGTGTAGCCACAAATAAACACATACAAATATAATTATAGCAAATATATTTGTACATATTACATATTTGCTTATTTTTTGCTACTTATTTTTGTACATATGTACGTATTTATAATGCAAAAGGTTGAAAAAACATACATAAACGACCATTTTTGCAATCATTTAACATATATGGCTATGATTAACTTGTATGTCATATTTGTAATTTGCATATATTTTCATATATCACATTTCTATTTTGAGGGATGTAAACATTAACAGTGGTTCTAACATATATCCTGTTTTACATTTTTAATTTCCACAGCTTCCGAGAATACAAAAATGTCCACATATTGATAAATATTGCTGTGATGGCTGTTTTAACGTTAAGTTATGATTGGATTTGCCTTTTGTTAAGGTTATGAAATAGTTTGACATCAAGCAGGAATTGTTCACGGGCCAATGACATTAATACATTGAAATGGTATATACAAGACAGTTATAAATTATTACTTGATTAGATTTTTGGCTGTTAAACAAAACTTGTATCATAACCACTTGTGAGTGTGATTTTACCTCTACTAGACTTCGAAGTGAAGAGATGAGTGAGTCTCTTCCAGAAGCCCTTTTTTTCCTTTCTCGCTTCAGCAACTTCATCAAGCCCAACGGGTGTTTCAATGGGCTGACTAGAAACTTTTTGATTTAACATGGCTTCATGGTAGTCCTTTGTGGCCTGGACGAGGTCGTATGTTCTAGTTTTGCGACAGAAGACTGGCCACTTCCAGAAGCCCTTTTTTACCTTTCTCCCTTCAGTAACCTCATCAGGCCCAACGGGTGTTTCAGTGGGCTGACAAGAAACTTTCTGATTTACCTCAGCTTCAAACTGGTAGTCCTTCGCAGCCTGGACAAGGTCGTATTTTCCAGTTTTGCGGTGGAGGACTGGCCACTTCCAGGAGATTCTCTTTTTCTCCCTTCTCCCTATCTTTCCAACCTCAACATGCGGCTCATTAGAAACATGAAGATGGTTCTCTGGCATGTTGGGGGTGTACTTGAGTAGTACACAGGGACTGTGATCAGACTTCATGATGACAAATGTTTTCTAATAACAAACTGTTAATAGTAAACCGATCAATCTGCAACTCAAAATGCCAAAACTACAACCCACAAAAGCAAGTAGTAGAATGTCAGGCGATGATGTCATCCAGGCGCATTCTAAGAATTCTAATATGGAATGCTTTGGGCTGTTGTTATTTTTCAAATGTTTTAATCTTTCCAAGTTTGAAATGAATGTGATACTTTGCTGTTTTGTGTTTATAGTGGTTTGTAAATGCAGCAAAGGGTTGCTTACAGGCTAAAGTTGTTAAGAAATCTGCATGGAGGAGTACATCAGATGTCAATAATGTGACAATTGTATTATATTGGGCAAATAAATTGCAGCAGCCTCATATACATGCTGCTGTTTGTGTTGTTATTAATGGTAAAAGAAGAAAATGACTCACTTTTTGTGACTTGTAAGGAAAAAAATTATACATATACATAAATATGAATGTATACGTCCCTTTTTTTGTATATTCATTTTTAGTGAGGTCCAAATTATCAAGGTGAACCAACAGAGTGTCTTTATTTTCGTACTCTTATTTCTTGGTTATCAATTTCTAATGACATTATGAATAATTAAATTCAGCAAAGAAGCAGTGGAAAAACTTTAATTCTTTGATTTACTGCACATTTTGTTACAAATCTCTGAAAAATTCTTGCAAAATGTGACATTTTGTAAGGAAATATCCAAGAAAATGTGTATGTCTTTGTCTTGCTTTGACTGCTAAGTCTATTTAATAGATTCTGATGTACAGACATGGAAAAAAAATCTCAGCTTGAGTAAAACATAAGTTTTTGTTTCATTCTACACAGTTCTGATCAAATTTCTTCCCAATTTAATATAACTATGTAGCCATTTTAGCATAAATCAATTTAAAATGTAAGTAGAAGTAAGTTTTAGACGTGTTTATAAAAGTTTAGCTTATTTAAAGTTAAGAAATCAATAGCTTAGGACACATTAAGTACATCAAATAAAAACTTTTGTTATTTTGACCAACTTAAAAATGCTCTAAATGACAATGTTTTTATTTGAAATTGGGAAGAAATTGTATCAGTCCTTTATAGAATAAAACTAATAACAGCTTCCCCAAACCCATAACTAATAAACCCAGAGAAATGGAGAATCTCTAATTCCCAAATGCAGGGTTCCACATAATTTATTCATGCCATCCCAACACCAATCGACTAAGTTAATGTAACAAATTTAAGTGGATTGAACAAATTGAGTTATCTCCAAAAAATCTCAAGAATTGAGTTGCTTCAGCTAATTTTACTTAAATCAGCAGCAAAATCAACAAAATCAGCAGCAATTTTATGTAATTTTATTTTTATAGCTGTATATTGTGACTCAAAAGTACGAAATATTACAAATATTTAGGACACACAAGCACTTATATACTTATTATTTGAATGTCATCATATTAGACAACAAAATGATGTTTGCCTAAAACCCTTATGCTAAAATAAGAACACTTGACAAAAAATCATGACTACAATTGTTTTATGTTACTTTAACTTATTTAAATAAGTTAATTATGTTCCAACTACATTTTTTTTCAGTGTTTCAAAGTTTAACTTCATATTTTAGTCAGTTTGGTTAATATAAGTTTAAACAGAAAAGTTAAAACAGTGTAGTTATAACCTGTAATCTGTAAGACTTGCTGCGTGTTTATTTAGGTCAATGTCTGTTCATGTATGCTCTTCTCTTTCCGTAATATCAAACAGACTCATATATATATATATATATATATATATATATACACATTGAGTTTGTTTGCAGTGAGTTTGTGTATGTGCGTGTGTTGTTGTGGGTGTATTTGCAAGGATCTATATGTATATGCGAGTGTGTTGGTGTGTTTGCATGCTGCAAGTTTATATGTATGTGTGTAAATGTGGGTGTTTATGCGGGAATCGAGTTCATACGTATATTAATTTGAAATATTGATTTCAGCTTTGGCGGGTTAGACAGACACCTCCACTAGCCAATTTGGCTGGTTGTAAATAATATTTAAATTGTGGTTTTCTTAAAAGCAGGGTTCGACTATAAGAATGACCCAATATGCGTGCAAATGTGATCTTAGAGTTGAGAAACAACACGACTGACAAAAAATTGCTTTAGCGCGAGAAGAAGAAAGCAGATGAATAGGGAATGAGAGGATAATCATCACTCGCGCTAACAGCCGATGTGATGCGCGCGATTGCTTAAAGCGCGTGCGCGCTCCTGTTTCCTTCCTTGAAAGCATTGCTTTCGCTTTGAACAGATTATTAATTGGCCTTAACCGTGTGATCATCCCTATCACACAGTGTTTTTCACCTGCTTTCTTTTGCCTATACGGTTATTTTTTGTTTGTATGGCTTAATTATCATTTTTTACAACAACATTTGCTTTAATATGAGATAACTCTCTATTTATGTGTTGTTAACGGATCTGAGAGACCTTTATTACTGTGCATATTTTTGATACATGACAATTATTATTTTTAAAAAACTATTATTTTTCTTTGTTTTTTTTAAAGAAATGTTTTGTTAAAAAAAAGTATACACCTATATTTATATTGTGTTGACGCATTTAAAATTTGTGGCTAAGAAATATTTTTTGTTTGGTGTGGTCAGAGATAAGTTAGGTAAATCCTTAATTTTGAGTTCTGAAAAGACCTGTGAAATAAAATCTAATTGCAGTATAACACTATGAAACCATGACCCATTTGCTCATACACGATACACAAATTGTGAAATGAATGAGGAGGCATGTGAACATAACACAAAATCTAAATCAAGTAATTTTAGCATGTCAAAGTCATATTTATGCATATAAAAATATTTTCCCAACAACAAAATTGTGGCTAGTAAAAATGCAGAGTGGCTACGTTGGAAAACTACTAGCCATTGTGGCTGGTGATTAAAAAAGTTAATGTAAAGCCCTGATTGAGTTTATATGTATGTGCGTGTGTATGTGGGTGTATGCGTGCGTGTATCTGCGCGTTTCATATATGTTGTTTTGAATAAACAATAGTATAGGTGTATATGCGAGTAATTTATAGGTGTATATGCACGTGTTTTATGAGTGTGTTGATAAGCGAAGTTTGATTTAAATCCTACACGGCGCCGAGTGTGTTGATAAGCGAAGTTTGGTTTAAATCCTACACGGCGCCGAGTGTGTTGATAAGCGAAGTTTGGTTTAAATCCTACACGGCGCCTCACACAGCTCTGACCAATAGACCATTTACGCACTTCCGCATTTTTCGAACGGAAATACATCAATGTAGTGCATTAGAACTTCCTGTTATCATAGCGGCAGATACGAAAAATGGCAGAGTCGAAGAATCGCAGTTTCTGTTGTGTTCCAGGCTGTTCGTCTTCTAACCAAAACAGCCCTACCTTTTATTTAATTCTTTTCCTGTTGATCCAAACCTGAAACCCAAATGGATACAGGCGATCTGAAGAGAGGAAGGGCATAGTTTTCATGTTAAAACAGGTAGCACCTATGTCTGCAGCCGGCACTTCGCTCCGGATGATTACAGTGGTGTAATCATGAAGACTGGTGTTGTCCCGAGCCTATTCCCTTGGAACAACTTTACAGCTCCTTTGAGAAGGGAGTCAGTATATGACAGAACCTACAAACGTCAGTCTAAACAGCTATGCTGTAAAGATAGCGATATGGTGGTTAAGGCAGTAAGGAGGGATCACGACTACGTGACACACCCACCTGCATTGAGTTAAACTCCTAGTGATGGTGAGCTTCTTATTACCCAAGAACGCCATCTAGCGGTCACATAACCTAATAGCATGTTTCTTGCTTCTAACCCCCCCTCCCCCCCCCCCCCCCCAAAAAGGTCCAGCATTTGTCCTTTTATTTATTTTATGCAATTTAATATTATGTAATATATTTATTATATAATTAATATAATATATTTATATTCAGTATATATTCCCATCACGTCTGTGTTTATGAGGCTGTTTGCTCACTTCATTTGTTTTATTCTGATCAGATATCCCATTGCTCAAACCACTTCAGAAGGTGATCTGGGATGCATTCCAGATGAAACTGGATTTTGGGTTATTTTTTTTACACAAAATCAATATAAACAAAATAAATTTGACCTGGAGAAAATCTGACCTGCGCCTGAAACAATTGTAGGTGTGCTTTTACAGCCAAAATTCTACTAAAAACATGTTCTAACCTTTTAGGCCTTTGCAGGGGGGTTCAGAAGACCCACCCCTCACTCACAAAAGTCCAGAATTTGTCCTGTACATGAGCTCATTTGTCCTATTTTGACTGTTATGCCATCATCAATAATGAAAATAATCCATCGAAAAAGGCATTAATACTAAACGGATCCTCTGTCGGCTGTTGCTTCGGTGGGAATCTGATGTAAGAGAAGTCTTCTTTCACTACTGTATTGTTTTTAAACAGAGAAAACAAAAACAGAGAAAACATTTTACAGGTAACTTTATTGTAAATCTTGGACCTTATTTCTGAAATAAAAATGAGCAATAAAAAGGTGTGAAGCACCAGAAGCAAACCATATTACATTAATGTTTTATATATTTTGGCTATTGTTGATATCCAGGAATTTTCAAATGTATTTTTGTTTTTACCAAAAAGACTAAAAAAATTCAAAAGAATTCATTATAATTGTTTTAATTCAATTCAATTCAGCTTTATTTGTATAGCGCTTTTACAATGTAGATTGTGTCAAGGCAGCTTCACATAAATGGTCATAGTAACTGGAACCGTGCGGTTCAGTAACTGGAACAGTGTGGTTCAGGTTTTAGGTTTTAAGTTCAGTTCAGTTCAGTTTAGCTCAGTTCAGTGTGATTTAATCATTACTGAGAGTTCAAACACTGAAGAGCCAATTCATTGATGCGTAGCTCTACCAATCTTGAACCATGTGAGGCAGTGGCGACAGCGGAGAGGGAAAAAAAACTTCACCTGATGGGAGTGAAGAAAAAAGACCTTGAGAGAACCAGACTCAGTTGGGCACGACCATTTTAATTTCTCCGCTGGCCAAAAGTCTTGTGCAGAACTTCATTCGCCGTGGTTTAGGCTGGAAGATGGCCTCAATTTTATTATTATTATTATTATTATGTTTATTTTTTTTTTAAATGGCCAAATTGTGACTTAGGACAGTTGAATGTGCTGGCCGTTTTTTTTTTTTTGTTTTTTTTTTGTCTAATAAATGACATTAGGCTACAGTTTTTTTTTTACTTTAAAAATTTAACAGATTGCTATTTATTACTTATCATAAGTGATGTAATTAATTTGAATTTTATTCAAATTCAATTCAAATTCAAAGTCTTGTTTTTAGGGACTATTTCAGTACATCAAAAAGTGTGGCTAAGATGACATCTGACTAGCTAATTGAGAAACAAAAAAGAAACACCCATTTCAGCAGGCTGGCTACGGGTCTCTATAATGTAATGTAAATGTTTCATTTCGTATAATATAAAAAAAAAATAGGATTTAAACTAACACAAAAATAATCAAATTTTTAAAAAATATTGTCACTATCTAATTGTGATCATTACAATAGATGCACTTACTTTACAAGAAGTAACTTGCTCATTTCATTGATCAATGACATAAATATGAAAAATCCCTGAGCTGCCTAAAAACTCGCGATACTATTTGTGGCGCGGGATTTGGCTGAAGCTGATGAATGCGCAGTAGTGGTTCTGCAGCGCTGTGGAAATGGCGCCTGCGTTCAAGCGGTAGTAGTCGGCACGGCTTAACACTGAACTCTCTGGATTTGAAGTTTCTCTTCGCTACTGCTTTAAGGTTCATCACAACTAGACTTCGAGAGTTTATCC